ATCGAGAAATAAATTCTCTGTCGAGTGAACTTAGAGACAGATTTTGAAACGATTTCAAACTTTTCCCGAGAAAGAAACAACACTCACACCCGTTTATTATGAATCACCTGATAGTAGCTTGTTGATAATAGAATAAGAACGACAATGATTTGTAATAAAAGTTTAGGATATTTCCTTGAAAATCCCATTGAAAACATAGAACATGCAAAATACATAGTTTAGTTTAGTCTAGAAAAAAATCTTTAGTTTTTTTTTTGTTAGTTTATGTTGTCGATCTACATGTCACAAACATTCGATGATTTCTTTCACTTGTCAGCATAGCTTTTATGCGTGTTCTAGTTCGAAAATTCTCAGCTGTAAGAGTTTTTTTGAATATCTTTTTGACATAGTGATCCAAACATTCTATATTCTTTAAATCTTCGAATGCACAACGTATCTTATTCATATTGTCACATGCAGCACATGTTGATGAGGAGGAATTACATGATAAGCCAAATTCTTCCTCAGCGTAATTCACAAGTAGTTTAATATTCAAACTTGTTTGATTTTCAAATTCATAAGCTTTGCAACAAAATACAAATGATTGAAGTTTGAATATGTATATTAACACTATGTGGAAGTATGGCAGCATAATTTATGTCTGAAAAGAAAACATTACAGACAACACATGTGCATGAAAATTCTAATTAAATACGAATGACGCTTTCTTATTTGATCTTTCGAATGCATAACCATTTGAAAATGAATAATTGCATATGAATAATAAAAGAGTTAATTGTTGGTTATAATTGTAACGGCTTGTCTAAGCTATTTTTGCTATTCCTTTTCCTATGGACATGCAGTACAATTTACTTTGTATCTGACTTCTATTTCCTTTAGAATGCACTCGTATGTAGGAAGTAGGTGTACGTAGAGTGACAGAATAGCTTAATAAACGTCGTGATGAATCACACAGGCAAATATATCTCATCATTTGTCGTTACAATGATAATAAATACTTTAACAGAATGTGCGAAGTATGATCTTGATGCAAAAAGATAAAACCAAATTCAGTACGAAATATACTCTAACAAGCAACTCGCATTGACCTAATATTGCGTACAACGCTTTAAGCCCAATCTCTACTGGATCGGTATCCAAAACACGATAGAGTCACTTCAACTTTACATAAAAGGCGTCTTCATGATGATGCAAAGTTATCATAAAGCTTAATGAGAAAAATTTCGACGTTTCTATTGCGATTTGTGACGTAGTCAAGGGCCCCATATCAGTAGGAAAAATCGAATAGTTCTGAACTCCGTGATATCAAATCGATAAAAAAGTAGATCACAATGAATGAAATCCGTAAAAAGGGTTAAAGCCAAAATTTATATGATTTAAGAATAAAATCGGTATGTTGAGAAGTCTGTCACAGCCTGTCGGATTCTCTACTTTTGCGAAATACTTCAATATTCATTAGCAGGCATGCTTAAAAAAAGGTTGAGTCTACAGTAAAATTTGTATAGAATTATATAGGTTTTAGTTAGCCGACAAAACTTCTTAGATTGACAAATTTATTTATTTCAGCAACACTCGTTTCTATCATTGACAGTACTAGAAATGATATCATTCATCCTCAAGATAACAGTTGGTGATTCCAATGTTGTTGATTGATCCTTGTTCATTATCCATAATACAAAATTATCTGCTAGAATTTCTTCCGGATGTATAATATAAGTTGTATTATTTCCGATTTGATCAAAAAAATTACTAGCTTCTGCGTATGATAAATATTGTAATGGTTCTAACGGTTCGAATGTCGTATCATCTAAGATCAAAGTTGTTGCCACTAGATAATCAAAGAGATTGGTAGAAAAGTTGGGATTAAAAGCACGAGAAGCTTGTAAAATTGGTGTGCATTTATATGTTTTTCCATTTTCATCTTCAAGTTTTTTCAATTCAATATAATATTTCAAAACCAATGGTGCATCTGGATTAGTTATTTTTCGCTGTTGTAAACTAGCTGGAAATTCGATTGACTTCATGACTGGTATTTTATAGTATCCAATACTTGCATATAATTCATCACGAATTGTTGAATTTGTATGCCATTTACTCCATATATGAAATAGTTCGTGAATAAATGTTTTACGCATCTGCCTATTAAGAATAATTGTTAGTGGCATTACAATAACATTTTCATTACGGCAATATGCAGCATTATTTTCATCTTTTCCATTTGTTAATACAACATAAATTCGTGGTGGATAAGTTAATAGTTTCAGTTGTTCTAGACAAGTAGTGTTGATATATTGAATACACGACGCCATCACCTGGCTTGATTCTTCATCCCAAACCAATATTTGTTGTGCAATAAACTTGAAATAATCTTGTACTGTTGGTGAAGATACACTTACACGAGACTCTAAATCGAACTGGCTAAAATTATTGACAAAATCATCGGTTTTTTCTAGTTCTTCGATGGCTTGTTGGCCTGAAATCAATTCAATAATGGACCAGTTCGCAGTTTTCAATACAAATATCTTATTGGATGAACTGTGTAATGTCGATGCAGCAGCATTGACACTCATGTTGAAAGTACAAACAAAATATCTAAAATCAAACTGGATAACTTAGCTAAAGTATCGTAGCAAGTGTAGTCACATGAAAAAAAAGTCAGAAGTGACTTGGTGAAAACGTTGCAAATGAATAAAACGAATGTACCGAAGTCAATTCACAAGGAAACAATGTTGATAATGTTTGTTGAATAAAACTACTGGTATACATGTCAAACAAGAAAATGGTTGACTCACAGTAATTCTATTATTTTCAGTTTTTTAAACTACAATAAGATTTGACGATCCTTATCGATCAGATATACACAATGCAAATTTCTCTTGGCGCCGCCGAAAATGTTACCAGTGAGTGCCAAAGATCATAGCTTGAATTCGATGGGAAAAGATGATTCTCTACATTGGTGTTGATGAATTGGCCTGCTTAGATGAGAAAAACACGATAATCATGGTAGACGCAGTATTAAGGTCGCTAAACTGCAAAAAAAGCAAGGTACATTGTGATTTGGCAGAAAAATCAATGATCAAAAAATTTTAGCAAATTATATCAAAGAAAAAAGATCCTAGCGTAATCTCTAACCAATTAGGATGCTAAACACGATGGAATTACTCTAGACGAGATCAAGAAATGTTGGTAAGTCCAAAAATGTTTCTCAGCGAATCAAAGATCAACAGGCCGAAAATCTCATTTATTGTTACAGACTGTCACAGATATGTTGGCAAACCTTGAAAACCGTCACATACTATCACAGATGTTTCAACATGCTTTTTTATTTTTCGAGTATGGAACTTAAATTTATAAATAATTATCTTAATAAATAAATAAACAAAAAAATTTATGAATTATCTATAAACAAATAAATAATTAAAAACACATTTTACCAACACTCACATTCCACATTCGCACAAACTTATACCCCATGCTCTATGTTGTTGAAAGAATTTGGTAAGCTGTGTTCGAAAATCGTGTCACATTTGATAGAGGTTCTCGAGCGCATCTTGGAATATAATGACATATTTTTTATGCTATACGAAATAAAAAGTCTAGAAAGTCACAAACATTTGAAGAATTATAGTCAATTCTTATTTTTTTTATGCACCTGTGCCTTTGACGAAAAGAAAAATGTAACTATTCTCATTTCTTATCTCCTCAAGTCTGCACGTAAAGCAACACAATGATAAAGATCATTTATGAGTGATATAAAATGTAGGTTGTCCTACACATACTGCATATTTGATCATGACTATTTTATCGCTATTCGTTATTTACCTAATTCTTTTTGGTATGAAGAATGGAAATTTTCTACAGGGTATGAAAATTCGATCGCAAGACATCATGACAAACAATGTTCGATCCCAAAGATGCACAGCAGAGTGCCAAGTTCATTTGAAACTTGGTCAGCCTTTGGTGTGGCCTGATCAGTGTAAAGAGCTTACTACATTAAATCTCTGCGTAGTTACAGTTCAGGTGAACTATCATCAGAAAGATGTGGGAATTTTTTTTTACGAGATCGGAAATCCTACTGATGTCATGGGTTCACACTTTCATGAAGTACCACAAAGCCTGTCTCGAGCGTCACGCTATTTCTTCGGATCTACAAATGACGATTCATTACATATATGGACCTACATGTGTGCGACAGGTCAGGATGAATGCGATAAGAAATTTCTAGAAGCCAACCTGACTGGTATCTTAACTAGCATCGATGATAAGGGAATGCGCAGTAAACTCTCGAAACTTCTCTACACTCCGACACCGAATGTGCAACAGTGCTATACAAGTTCGAGTGAGCTTACCAATTGTCTATATGGAACCTGCTACTACGGCTACAAAATAGGAAACATTCAGGAGCAGGACATTTTTTCAATTCAGGACGTGCAGACTTGTGTATCCGACGATGATAATAATATGGTTCAAGTGACACATGTTGTCGGACGTGCTCTTTCTGGCTCCAAACAGTACAATTTCGATCTTCTTACATTCGTTTGCAATATTGACAAATGTAATGAAGCTATCACTATAGCCGGTTTGAAAAGCATTTTTAATAATGAGCAGAGTGGCGATGATGAAGTTCATGTTGATTGGAAAAAGCAATCTAACTCAGCTGCGACGAATTTTTTCGAATTCTTTTTTGTAGTTGCTACTGCATTATTCTCTCTTGCCAATTTTCAATAAAAACCGATATAACTTTTCTGCATTCACTACCAGTAATACAAAATATATTGTACCAACATATCGAGGAAAAAACAGCGGACTTCAAGAGACTTCAAATTTTCAAAAGAAGTTAACAGACTTCTAAAGACTTCAGGACACGTCATGGGAATTCATGAGACTCCAGCATGACATCTGGTGCAAAAGTCATGGAAGAAATATCGACTCCTATGTCTCTTCAATAGAGAAGTGCTGAGAAAAATTTTTTCCCCAGACGATAGAGAATGTATTCTTCTTTCGCATCATATAAAACTTATTTTTATCATCTGCTCATGAACAAAATTACGTTACAGGAAAGAGAAGCACCCTTAAAGCAAACATGGAATTTATTCGAGATTCGACAAAAACAGACGAAATATTGATTCCTATATATCTTTTTTAATAAACACATTCTGAAAGGAATATTTTTCCATTAGTTGATAAAAAATTTCTTCTCTTTTGAGCATTATATCATTCATATTTGTCATGGATTCCTAAATGAAGTGAGAATAGAAAAAAGAAAAACACTCGCGCAATAAATTTGTGATTGTTATGCGAACTTGTTCAAAATATAGTGTAACACGACAGTTAATCAGAATCAACAGCCATTATACACTATGTTTTTGATGCGTTCATATAAAAATTGCAAATTTATTGCGCGGGTGTTTCTCTTTGTCTCCCCTCATTTGAATTAAAAATGTATGGCAAATATAAATCAAATACTTTTCGAAACAGGAGAAAAATCTTATCGCGACTGATGGAAAAATATTCCTTTCAGACATTGTTTATCGAAAGAGACACAAAGGTTCATATGTTGTGTTGTAATTTATAGGAAAAGTGCGGACTCATTTGAGGGTGCCTTTCTTTTGTTTTGCACCGTTTCATTCATGGACATGCGATAAAAATAAGTTATATATACTTTGAAAGAGGAAAAAATTCTGATTTCTAGTAAAAAAGGTTTTCTTTCAGTATCCTTCTATTGAAGAGACATATCAGTCGATATTTGCCCTATCGCTTTTGCATCATATGTTATATTAAAAGCTGTAACTCAAAGACTTCATAACACTTCACGAGACTTCAAGAGATTTCATCAGACTTCAAAAGTCTTCATAAGACTTAAAAGACTTCATGAGACGTCAAAGCTGAAGTCTCCGTTGTTTTTCTCTCGCAATATACCAGACATTGGTCAGTCTCAAGCCAATCAGGATGGACGACAGTATGGGCATATGTGGTCAAACCATAGGCACTCACACCCTCTCCATTCACAGAATTCTAGCTTAACCGGTTGCGGCAAGAATAGGAAAAAAAAGAGAAACTTTAAACTACTAATATCTGAGAGAAAGAATGATTCGACAATTGTATTCTTAGTACTACTTCTTCTTTATTGATCAAAATCTATTTGAGATCGAATTTTTATAAATTCTGAATAGGATGAGATCTGAAAAATCGTGGAAAAGATAGTAGCATACATTCAATCAATCTGAGGATGTCCAGCCGATTAATTTATTACGCCTTGGCGCCTGAAAAACGGCACTGAAAAATAGAAGAAAATCCTTCAAATGAACTTTTCAATAATCAATGATCGAACTTAACAATTGATATTTCAATACAATGCTGACTATCTTACAAGAAATGGAGAATGAAGTTATGTGATAGAGAAGCTCTATTTTATTCTTTCATTAAATACCTATTTGCATTTTAACACTTGACAAAATAGTATATTTTGTTTGCTTTACGAATTTTAGTGCTACGTAGGAATTGGCACGATTCTTACAAAATGATTTCAAGTTTTCTTTTAACATATACGTATTTCGAAATAAAATTCAACATATTTTTTCTTCTTTACTACTCAACAATACTGGTGGGTAGCGAACTCATAATCACATGGTTACGTGAGAAAAAAAATATTTTTTGATGACTGACTTAGAATTTTTTACGAACCAATTGAAATTATCATGAGCATCGACGTTATATACTTGCTTGTATCACCCATAAATAACATGTCAGACAAAATCGACAATTACTTGCACTTGTTGTTACCTGTCAAACGCTATACATGTCGTGCGTTCTGTCATTTGTATAATCAATAAGTAGGCACGATAAAAATCTGACTGGTAATTGTAGCGATGAAAATAATCATTTCGATTCTGTCATGCCTTTGCACTGTCCTTCGCTTTCTTTCATATTTCATGTTTCTTTTTTCCTGTTGTTATGTGAAGGCTTCATTGCATATTTAAATAAAAGCTGTAATGCAGAGAAAAAAAGAGAAAACGCGTAAAATCCAATAGTGTGCAGCAGCCAATCAAAAGATAGTACAGTAAAACCTCTCTAATGTGAACACCATTGGGACTTTTCAAAAGTGTTCACTATAGAGACGTGTTCACTAATAGAAGTTTTACTGTAGCATTATTAAGTCAATTTAATTAGTGCTAACCACATATTTACACCTGAAAGTTCGAACCATTGTTCTATTAAAAAAAGAACTTTGGTTGAATCGTATGAAAAATTACAATTTTTAAAATGAATTTCTCGCTTATACAAAACTTTCTAGCTAATTGAATACATTCGATCCTGTAGACTTTTCAAAAGAGAAGTTTTTGATGTCTGTATTCATGTTGGATATGGCTGCCTACGCGTACTATTGGATATGTGCTCTTTCTGATTGTTTTCTTTGACCTCATTTTTGAAAGTGTGCACATATATGTAAATCAATAAATGATAATTTTTCATTATGTATTCTGCTACATCAGCAATGATTGAACTTGTCTTTCTTTCAATGTGATCTTTTAATGAAATCGAATCGCCCAAGTTTTACAGAAGCTAATAT